GTGTACGATAATACGTTTAGGTATTGCCGAAGCCGACATTTCCCTTGGGTAATTCATTACGGAAATTTTCACTGTAGAAGAGATACAAAACACATCAAGATTGTAGGATTTCAAGATTTTTAAAATAAACAAATTCTTTAGAAAGCAAACTTCATTAAAATGCTACGAGATTCGCAAAACTTCTATAAAGTTTGCCGCACTTGTATTTCTGAAGAGGCCTGGCCCCCTTGTCACCCCCATTAGCTATGCCAATGAAACTTTAGTAATTTTTTATGATTCTAAACTTAGAACAAACTGAACTATTTTGAACTATGAATTTGCTCAATGGAGATTTACGTAAATCCGCACTGAGACCATAAAACGGAAATTATACAGATTTTTTTACAGATTTTTGTGAGCAAGATACAGATTAAAAAGATTTTTTTGCGATGAAAATACAGATCTAAATTTGAAAAATGTGGCATCACTGCTTGGTCCTGCAGTAAGCAGGACCAAATCAGCGGCTAAAGGTGGATCACGGCGTGACCACAATAATGATGTAAACCCCCTCCCCCTTTCACAACAACCTCTCCCCCTCCCCCTTCACAACAATCTCTCCCCTCCCTCAACAACCTCTCCTAACCCCCCACCACCACTCATCAACAACCTTTCCTAACCCCTCCCCCACTCATCAACAACCTTTCCTAACCCCCCCCCCCCCCCCACCCCTCAAATACCGCTCCTAACAAATCAATATCTATGTGTCGGCCACATACTTAAAATATGTACATATAAAAACCATGCGTGACCGCACATACTATTCATTTGCGTGTAAATTTCATGTGTACTTCTGAGTGGATTCTGTTTATGTGTGGTCAAATGAAAATCATGTGGAATTTCACATGGATATTTGTCAAGAAAAATGTGTAAATTGTTTTGAGTCAACCATAACCGAAACATTGAAATACTTGAAAATTTTAAGATAAAGTATAATAGTCAAAAATGCATGAAAAACATCAATTTTGTGTGGTTCTACGTCATACTGCGGTCGTGTCTAGGACACAACCCTTTACTTTTTTTCCTTTGGTTTGTTTTTTCCGTCGATCTTGTTTTCCGTGCTGAGCACCAATGCTACCGATGTGCCAGGAAGGCAGCTCCCACACCTGGACCCTACCTATCGACCCATCAACTCATGAACCGGGGACCAACGGCTTTACTTCCCATCCGAAGGAAGGCGTGATCAGAGATGTTATGCCTCAGAACATCCCGGCGGCGCCGACTGGTATTGAACCCAGGCCTGCTGGGGTGAGAGGTAATCACGCTTACCACTACACCACCGGCGCCGTCAAAAAAAAAAAAAAAGTTGATATTCTATTTGTTTTTGTTTTTTGCAAAGTTGGGGAATTTTATCCAGGATTTTTTATTACATTATTTATTATTATATTGAGCTTTTTCTAAGAGCCAATGAGTTTTTTAGAAGTAGAATGTAAAGATTTACCATAAATTTGCATAAATGCATAAATGTTTGCAGTACAGAATATCAGTTTAGGAACTTTATACGCACGATAAAATTCCTCAGAAGAATAAGTTGTGTAAATTGATGATAAACAAATTCCATTCGTAGGAAGGATGAAATTAATTTACAACATGTCCAATACAGTAGGTTGCGTTATAGTCATAAATAAGTTGCGCAAGTCAAGCATATGTTATATATAGATCCCACCTCTTGCGCTTTTTTCGCTATAAATAAGTTGTATATAAGTTACTAGACGTAAATGTTTACCGCTGATATTGTCATAAATTAGTTATGTAAACCCGTTTATGACAAATTGTGTTGCTTGGGGAAGAACGAATACAATCGGTACAAAAAAATTCGTACATTAGGTTGGACAAGATTATCTCTTCCGTTTTATGAAGCACGGTGCATGCTCATCAACATTCAAATATTAAAAGAGCGTGAATTTGTAGTGATCTCATTTTTAAACTTTTTTTTTCTTTATTGTCGTGATTTTTAGCCGAAATCGATATCGTTTCCCATCGTCATGATTCTGTAGAACTCTTATCAAAATTACATTTTTATGTACCTTCTCGACAACTACGCAATCGGAATTATTGTTTTTACAAACCACCATTGTACAAATTATGCTAAATTTGGACCCTTAAATCAGATGATGGAAACTTACAACAAGCACTGCGAGACTATTAACTTTACAATGACAAAAACCAAATTAAAAAAAAAACACGTAAGAATAGCATATTATTAAGGTAAACACTGCTTATTATATTTTATGTATTTTTTTATGCATTATTATTTATAAACAAACAAAGAATGTAATTATCATTGTAACAAAACGGTCTACATTTGATTGACGACAATAAATGAATAAATAAACTACACACTTACAAAAATTTATGTAAGTTTAGGTGCTCTGAGACTGACATAGGGTAAATGTTGGCTTCGGCACCCATTGACTGTTTTCGGCAACCAAAATTTAAACGTTAATTTCACTATGTTGTCCCATCAACGCACTTCCCTGAATGTGTCCAAACGATTGTTTAGCCTTTCAGCTTCAATCTGATTATATTTGAACGATCGAGCAATCCAGTAATGCTACATTTTTCTTCAAATAAAGCATACGCACTACAAAATGGGGTTGATTTCGAGTTGCCGATAATAGAACAGCTGGTTAACACGCAGTTCTAATGGGAAGGTTGCCGAAGAAAAAGAGGCTGCCGACAATAGTCACACTCACCTGAGAAGTTTGGAGCGTTGTAAAAACGCTTTCAAAACGTTTTGAAAAATTCTGTCGATTGGAATGGATAGAAAAGCAAGCAGCAGATGAATGTAAACAAACAGACACATCATATATGTGCGTGACGCTGAGAAAATGCTAGTAGAAGTGCAGACGCTGCTTAGATTGACGAGAATACGTAAATTCCCCTATACGAGCGTCAATTTTGACATAAAATTGAGTCATAATAGGCGCGAAATTCTGCTCAATCAAACGTACTTTCAATATTTTCACTCTCGGAGCATTTAATTTTACATGACATGTTTTGTTTACGTCTCATCATTTAAGTCAAATATGGATTCGGTCACGTGTAAGATTAGGTATTTCTAAGTGTGTATAATTCCAACCAATATTGATGAAAATATAATGAATTTGAGAGGAGAACTGCAAGTAACTGCTAAGAAAAAGTAGTGAGTGGAACTACAAGGAAAGAAAAAGAATTCAAGCGAATTTTGAAAAGAATTCAATGAGCATTGTGAGGATAAATTTAAATGTATCCTGAGAAAAGATTCAAAGAAATTGAATTCCGAGGAAGGCTCCAACGATGTTTTAAGAAAAAATCAATGGAAATACTTCGGAATTCCAAGTTGTATTCCAATACAATTTAGGTGATACATTTTAGAACATTAATAAGAGAGTTTCAAGGGACTTTTCATTTAAAAAAGCCATTTAAAAGAGGATAATTTCATGGGAACTTTAATAGAGCATTTAATGGATGCCTACAAGAATTCCTCGATGAATTTCAGGAGATTTCTACGGGGCATTGGTGGGAAATATTAGTAGAATGACGTAATTGAATCTCATTGTATTTTATTTTTCTGCGTTGAAAACTATGGTTTTTTTTTCGGCTTCTAATCGAGGTTCTGATTTTCCGTTACAGCAAAAGTGGGTTGTTGCAACTCCTGGCAGGATCGCCATTGTAAATAACTGACCATCAGCCGGAAAGGAATCTGCCCGATACCGCCGAACGACTTTCCTCCAGGGTGGTTGATGATTGAGGGTGACGAGAATGCAGTGTCCAGTTCATGGTCCTCACAACACTCATCATGGCTGACTACAAGTCCATGTTATAGTGCTGAATGTTCAGCACACTGCACAAAGAAGCATTGGACGCTCATTGCACCCACACAATTTCAAAAAGTATTCTTCAGAGAATTTCTAGATTATTATGGAGCAAATTAGATGTGAACACTAGAGAGACTTCTAAACTGAATAAATTCTGATTGAGAGGAAATTCTTCCGAAAATCAAAGAAAAAAAAACACACAGTCCTGTAAAGAATTTTAAATGCATCAAGATTATTCAAACATTTTTTCGAGATCCTAGACACAGAAAAAAATATTCGAGACTGGGATTAAATCAGTCTCATATTGGATAAGAAAAGATCCAAGATTCGGAGAGTTAGTTTTATGTTCGTGACTTAAAAAATATGTGTATACACGTAGAAATTATTTCCGACTGCGGTAATTTTTACCGATCTTTCGACAGATGTAATGTTTGGTAAAAATCAGGCATTTTAATTCATTAGATTTAAGGCTGACAAGGGAAACTTCGCCACATTCGCAAGACTAAACTATTGAAAAAAGGTTACTAAGATAAAAATTCCAGGCATCGATACATTTGCAAGATTCTGGAATATAAGAAGTTAGAAAGATTCTAAGCTTCGACAACTTCAATAGACTAGTAAAATTTACGGTTCTTATAGCTAAAACCCTTTGATATATTACCACTTAATTCAAAATTCTGGAAATATTACAGTTGTGAATCTGCAAAAACAAAGAAAACTTAGGGAATTTTATTCATCAAAGGAGGGATTTGTCAAAATATTTTCTTGTTGGTCAGAATTAAGTCTGGTGGAGTAGCAGGATTATTTGAACATTTTCCATCATTCAAATTTATGTTAAAAATCACCAAATTTAACACAGCCTAACTAGCTATTCAAACTGTTCTCGTTCAATAGGTTGAACCGACGGTGCCACAATTCAGAACCGCACAACAACAAAGTTTCATCGGCACTGTGACTAGTAACATAATCACTCACATCATTTGATGCTGAAAAATTACAAACGTTTCACTGCTAGACACCAATGCAAAGAAATATCAACTTAATCTATTGCCAGTCAGTTTTTTTCCCCTGACTAGTATAATATATTCTACAGCCGATTATTAAGAAGAAGAAATTAACTGTTTTTCACAATTTCATTAATACTAAAAATTAAAATTTACTTACCCACATCTGCTTCGGAAAGCGTTACAGATCGTGCTACAGCAGTAACCACCTTTTCTGATGGGATTATAGCCGCTAAATCCAGTTGCTCGGATACCGTTTCTACAGTGGCTGTCATTATCTAAAAAAAAAAAAAAAAACATTCAGTGAAAGTAGATCTATAGATGTCTAACATCAACACATCTTAAATGCACATAAATGTTTCATCTACATCGCAGCCTATTAACCCTCTCGTTCCCATGGTAGCATAGGTGATCCACAACTTTTCGGTCAGTCTCATGTTTTACAATCTTCCAATCAATAGTCAGTAAATTCCTCTACGTGTGCTCATTATTCTCATAGGCAACACTAGGGGAAGTGGGACTTGGGGTAAATGGGATCATTGACTTGTGTAACAGAAATATTATTAATTGACCACTTTGTCAAGCGGTTTTGGCGTGACTTTCTACCAGCGATTTCACAAAACTGGACCAACTAAATTCTATTTTTTTTATGAAACGCACAAATGTTTGGCTACTTTTCTCGTGATTCTAGAAGAAAAAATCTCAAAATAATGTTTTATTTCAAAATTTGAGTGGTAGTAAACGTCATTTTAGCTGCTCGAATGAAGTGGTTAATTCTATCTGATTTCCACTAGAATGTGGAAGTTCGTATCTAATGCATACAAAAATGAAAGAAATTTGAGCAAAAAATCTATATATATTTTGTATATCGAAATAAGAAAAATCCCTATTTTGCTGACATTTTTCTATGGTAATCAGAATATCTCAATTAATCTATTTCTGATAGACGACTGTGATATTGTGAGGGATTTCAATATAATATTGATAAATACCACTTACCCCAGATAAGTAGAGATCGTGGTAAGTGGGACCACAAGTGAAATGATGGTTTGAATATTTATTTTTACTAAAATATAACGGCGTGCGTGGTAGTATCGACACATTAAGAAGGATGAGCATTTATAATGCCATAATCTCATTCATGTTACTTATATTGTCAGATTTAGTTATGCTTTAGGATTAACACCTTTAGGATCACGAATTTCATGAAAACATGTTCACATTGAGGCAAACACAAAACCGAAACAGAGAAAGAGGGGTGCGCTTAGATAAAAGTTACTTTCCTCAATGTGCTCTTTAAATGAGCGGTAGCGAATGAAGAGAAGAGTAGCAAACAAATAAAAAAAAAAACAACCGTGATTCAAACCACTCTGGGATTAGTTCTGCGATTCTTGCTGGAACACTGCGATAAAAACCAAATAAGAAGAATGAATTCTTTGACTCATCGCATCAATAGATTCAATCAAACCAAAAAGTTTCTCAAAGAGGAACAAAACGTGGTTTACTCATTTTTTGGCACATTGAGGCCATCCGAACAGCCATCCTCAATTTTGAAGAGGAAATTTGAAGCAAAGCAAAGCGAAGAAGAGCGCACTACGTGAAGTTGGATTTTTTTTTACTTTTCTCTTTTTCTGCCCTGAGGAAGATCCATCCCTGAAAGAGGTGTTGTCCACCTTATGTAATGTGTTACTCAATTTCGAAACCATAAAATTTGTCAATCCAACTCATGACAAGTAATCAAAACTTGTGGTCCCACTTACCCCATATCCGGGGATATGCTGAAAAATCGACTATTTTTCACGTAAGCCCATATTCAATTTCTTCCAGTTTTTATGAACCACCATTTAGGGACTGTTCATCACTTGAGAATTTGATTTAGCATGTATTGAAAACGTTTAAAACACCTTCTGGGAAAGAAAGGGTTAACCATATTCTTATTTACAGTATGTGTTCAAAACGTATGTTTCAAACATACATACAATACATTTAAAATATAAACGAAAATATTGGTAAACACCGTTCTAATTCATATTTTAGACGCCTTCAAATTTCGGACACTTTCTGTCTGTCTGTCTGTCTGTCTGTCTGCTTCGAGACCCCTCCCCTTCTGTAAGGGGGGGCTCCCATACAAATGAAACAGACATTTCTGCATAACTCGAGAACTAATCAAGCAAATGGAACCAAATATGGCATGTGGAGGTCATAGTGAGTATTTCCTTAGTTAAGAGGGGGGAGGGGCATGCTTTTTTTAAATTGGGGCATAAGTTCAAGCTAACATTGAATCCCGAGCAAGGCCAGGCACACTCAGCTAGTATGATATAAACATCAAAAATATGTCACGCTTATTCCTTTAGTCAGCCCACGATTTTACAACCCATTTTTATAGATATCAACCCTGGTAACAACAGTAACAATCAAGTCTCCACTGCGTCCTAGCAAGAAGTACGGTCGATTTGTTTGGAAGTTTTCTCGCTATTCGCGTGATTTAAATTATCAGTTTTTTCTCACTTAGTGTTTGCTGACATCCCATCTAAATAATTAACCAAAAGTGATTTTTTTCTGCGAAGAAAGTGTGTTTTCGGCATCATCTGAAGGAAAATTGTTCAATTGCGATTGGCAACTCGAAAACCAATTTGCGGACCATCGGTGCGTGGTCACGCATACCTGCACACGGATTATCGTCATCGAGAGTCAGCATATGCCTCCCCATTTACACCACTCACTTATCATCGTGTGTTCAGCTGAGTGCCGACCCCCATAAGCACACTACAACGAAAATCACCTACACACGCGGTGTTGCTGCTGAGCGGTTCCACGAACAAGTGGGAAATTTTTCCAGTTTTTATTTTTTGTATTTTTTGATTTGCATGAAACCTTGCATACAAGTTTTTGGGGAAGAAAAACGCCGTTTTGCATACTTGGTTCGCCATTTTAAATCTAGCCTTACTTATGAGAAGGGCCTATGAAAAATGCACATGATATCTTCAAAAAATTGTATCTCGGAAACGGTTTGTCCGATTGGTTTGGTGTCTTGGGCGAAGTTTTAGACAATTGTTGGTGTTATATGGAGAAATATGCACGGTAAAAAAAAAGGTGTGGTATTTGTGTTTTGAACTAAAATATAAATTTTCCCTTTAAAGTGACATGTCAATAATTTTTTTATTATCCTTATGTTATAGCTGACTGAAAATGCTATCTAATGCACAGTAGGTTGTTCTGGAGAAAAATAGGTTACGATGAAAAAAATTGTTTTTTAAAAAAATACAATTTTCAAAAAAGCTATTAAGAAAAGTCAAAAAAGTTTGTCACCCTAATTTTATGAAAGCACATCAAATTTGCAAACAAAAAGTACTTGGGTAACATTTTTCTAAGATGCACCGTTTAGAAGATATTACTGATTTAATATTGTTTTTTTGATAACTTAATAAGTTTTGGCCCTTTTCGGATGTACTCCGTGTTTTTCCAGTTTCAAAAGTATTTTTTCGGAAAGATTGGAAAATTTTGAGTTAAAATGACACTGACAACTTAAAGATTCGAGTGAAATTCTCTGCCTTAAAAGTATTTTGAAAAACAAGTTACAAAATCCCACTATCAGGAACAATGATTTCTTCAAATGATTTTTGGTGCGTTGTATTAGATACAGGTAATCAGATACCAGTTAGCTGTACTACGTACAGTTGGTGATTGTAAACATGGTCTTTGTTGGAACTAGTCCACCATGGCCACGCTGGCCATAACGAGGCTAGCTCCGTCGTTGACCGTTCCTTAATAATAAATAAAAAGAACGCAGTAGTCACCTTCCATCAAACTAGAGGGCTGCCGACTGATACCTCAATCAACAACCGCCGCACTCTTTATTCATTCCAGGTATATACAATTTACAATCTTCTTCAATAACAATATACCTACGCCAGCAAATCTACCTCGAGCCAACTCTCCAAACTCGTACCTGAAGGTTCGACGATACCTGAGCGTTCAACTCTACCTATCTTCCAACAGTCTTTACCCAGCATTCTATGATTTCTACCCGTGAGCTGTATAATAATGTCTGACTCGGTTTTGAATTCATCCAGTATCTACTAGGGAAAACCAAACAGTAAATGCAGAAAGGTTGCTAGTAGCATAGTGATTATAGTAATTTCAGCTCATAATCCTGTGTTTTTGAACGTGATCCAGTGTTGTTTGATAACATAATAATTGTAAAGGAAAGTGTAACACGTTTTGGTGCAATATCTCACGGAGCTGCGATATCTCACGGATGGTATCATCCAAAAACTAAAATCAATTGGATTTTCCAAGGTATCCACACTGAACACCAAGGATTTTCGTGTTTGTTCGTCTTGCCGTCTACATATTGATTCAAGAGCTCACCTCACCCAAAACGAGGAACAAAGCGTAGCCGGCGGCTCAAGGATGCCAACTGTTGAAAGTTTGGTCACGATACCATCAGAGTCAACGCTAAGCACAATTAAATCAAATGAAGACTTCACGATGCCTGTAGACGTCGAAATATTCAACCGAGGAATAGCAGCTGTTCGTGTTTCGCCTATAGATTTAGGTAAGGTTAAAAATATTCACTATCCTGGAAAAAAGTGCGCTGAAATCGTCGAAGGTGTACGAAGAAATCTTTTTAAATTAGACGCTAAAACAGAAAAAGCAAACGAGTTTGATGAAGTCATAGAAAATATGAAAATTAAATTTTTAAATTCAGCCACAAGGCAAGAAAAACTATCAATTTTATCATTGTTGCCAAAATCATGGTCAGTACAAAAAATTGTAGACGAATTTAAAACCAGTAGAAATATGGCATCAGATGCAAGAAAGGAAAGAGATAATGTATTTGATTCATCTCAAGGTTCAAGCTCTGGAAAAGCTTTGAGTAATGAAGCAAAAGAACTGGTTTTGAATTTTTTTGAGGACGATGATATAAGCCGTGCAATGCCAGGCCAAAGAGATTTTGTTAGCGTAAAGACAGGAAATAAGAGATTAGCTGTTCAGAAAAGATTGTTAATGATGACATTGAGAGAAGCTTTTAATCGCTTTAATGAAATGTACGTCAATGTAAAAATAGGGTTTTCATCATTTGCAAGCCTCCGGCCAAGGCAATGTAAACTATTGACTATCACAGGAACACATAATGTTTGCGTTTGCACTACGCATGAAAATGTCAATTTAATTCTACATAGCTTAAAAAATACAATGTCTTGAATGATCTAAAAACATTAACGAATAGATTAATTTGCGAAAATAAGACAACTCATTGCCATCTACGAAGATG